TTTAGCAATGGATTGCTAAGGAATGCTCACAGAACTTTTTAAGGAGATGGAAAACACCATGACCAAGAACATTTCTAAAAGAAGGGGTTTAATTTGGAACTCAAGTTTCAGAAGATTAGATTCCGTGATCACCATGGCAGGAAGCATGGAAGCAGGTAGGCAGAAGATAAAACCATGGCTGAGAGCTTCCATCTGATCCACAGAAGGAGGAGACAAAGAGAACTAACTGGGAATGGTGTGGGCTTTTGAAAACTCAAAGTCTTCCCAGTGACACACCTCTTCCAACAAGATCACACCTCCTAATTCTTCCCAAGCAGTTCCAAATGGAGACCAAGCATTCAAATATATTAGCCTATGTGGGGGTAATTCTTATTCAAACCACCAGAATAGTTCAGGCTTGGACATGTGGCCTGTGCCACCACACCAATTTACAGTTTATTTGTTTGCTTGTTTTCATTGAAATGAAAGAAATTGAAGGCCAAAGGAAGTGAAATGATTTGTAAAGACAGTCTGTTTGGCAGATAACAACTGGAATGAAATCCCAGAATTCTTTCCATTGGCATCAAGATTTGTTGTAGCTGTGAGCTGCAGCTTGCGTAAACTATGAGTCTGGCAAATGGACCTTTTAAACTGAATTCAGAACAAAACTTGGTGGCAATTAACAGCCCATCCATAGCATTGCAGTGGATTAAACAGGCTTTCTATTTCTTAAAACAGTGAGGTTTTTTTCAGGAGGAAGGGGTGAAATTCAGAAATCACCTCGTTTAGTAGCAGGCAAAGTGTTCATTGCCCCACCAAAGCTGGTTACTGGAAACTTCCATGTCCATCATTCCTGCCGCTGTCCTGATGATCCCTGTGGATGCAGCCCTGCCCATTCCTACAGTCAAGGGCATTTAGTCTGTCTGTATCTCAGCAAATGTCCTGAATGAGTCCCTTAACATGTTGTGTTGATGATTATGTTGCTAACACAAGAAATTGTGGTGAACATATTCAAACTATAGCATCTCCCAGCCCATGGCTCTCCCTCGCAACCATCAGGGTAATAAGTAAACACTCCTGTCAAAAATCAAAAGCTTATTTTAAAATCCAATAAAGACATGGATCCATGGGTGGTCGTGGTGCCTGTCAATAGGTTGCCTTCCCACAGTACTTAGGTGCTTTTCAACATGCCTATCTTTCCTTTCCAAAAGCATTTGAAAGATGGTGACAGAAGTACAACTCAGGAGACCCAAATGTGCTCTGTAGAGCTAGTTTGCTTGTCTAGGGGGTTGTTGTTATTTTATTACTTAGCATATATCTATTGTATGTAGACATTTCACACATGTGTATCAGAGAGTTTGACCACATTCATCTCCATACCCCCTTTTTCTCCCCACTTTCCTCTCACTAGTTCCCTTCATTTCCCCACATGGTCCCCATTCCCCATTCTACTTTCATTGTGTGTGTGTGTGTGTGTGTGTGTGTGTGTGTGTGTATGTGTGTTCTAGGATCCACATATGAGAGATTTGTCATTCTTATTCTGGCTTGCTTAACTTAACATAATTATTTCTAATTCTATCTGTTTTCCTAAAAACAAGATAATGTGTTTTTAGTCCCCACCATGATAGACTATGCCCTCTGGAACTTTAGGTCTTTAAGTTGCACTTAGTCTTGAGACAGGGTGTCCTGTAGAATCCAAGATGGCCTTGAACATGAGATCTATCTGCCTTAGCCTCCTTGGTGCTGGTAGTACAGGTGCATGCCACTATACCTAGCAAGTCACAGAACTATTTTGCATAGAAATGAGAGCACCCTTCTCCTGAACTCCCACCTAAACAAATATTTAACTGGCACATCAATACCAGCATTGCTCACATGACCTTCAATAAGTTTCACATGGTCAAAGATGGCCTCACCTATGAAAAAAAACATAATAGGATACAATCCGCAGTTTAGAAGATCAGAACAAATAAGGTCACCAGCATGTGATCACCAAAAACAGGAAAGGCAGGCCAGAAAGATGGCCAGCAGATTAAGTAGCTGGCCACAAAGCCTGATGACCTGAGTTCAATCCCCGGGTCTCATAGGTAGGAACGAGCTGATTCCTGCAAGTTATTCTCTGACCTCCTCTCTCTCTCCCTCTCCCTCTCCCTCTCCCTCTCTCTCTCTCTCTCTCTCTCTCTCTCTCTCTCTCTCTCTCTCGCACACACACACACACACACACAAATACACATAATAGAATTTTTTTTAATTTCTCTTTAGGTGGGGCCTGGCTGCTAGAAGTAGATCACTTCTGACTGGCTTGAAGGTTTTACCCACCTTTGGTTCCAGCCTGTTTTTCTTTGCTTCCAGACTCATACCATGTGGACACATTGCATTTTCCTACTGCCACAGATCCAGCAAGTCCCCACCATGATGGACTATGCCCTCTGGAACTTTAGGTCTTTAAGTTGCACTTAGTCACAGCAACAAGGTAAGTGACTGATACACTTTGTGAAGTTGAGATTTATGAGGCAAGGTTACAAGCTGCACATATTACACAAATAGGAGGCATTAGCATTCCCTGCTTTTTAGGTGGCAGGCCATTTCCCTCACCACAGAAGACAGACACTCAGAAGAGGTGTTCTTAGTCTTGCTTTTTGTCTTACAGTGGAGCCCTCCTGTATGTCTCTCATCTTACAACTTACAAGCCTTCCATTTTACTCTCTGCTACTCCTTCAGGCCCCTGACTCCCAAATGCATTTCTGGTCTCTGGCCCGAGTCCCTTCACCCTGTAACTGACTTTGTTTGCTGACTCCAGCACGGTCACATTTACATGATGAGCATGACAAGTAGTAAAGCTTCTCTAGACACATCCTAAATGACACGAGGAGGCTGTACACCCAAGGCACAGTCAGGGTAGACTGGAAAGTGAGGAACTCTCCAGTGGCAACAGGAGTCCAAAGCGAAGGCTGGGAGTTTCACCATGAGAAGCAGTTTGTGTTGTGCTGTCCTTTAGAGTTAGGATGAGGGGGTTCCCAAGAGGGAAAAAATCTTGTTTTCAAAAAGACACTGCTTTCATCTAGTTAACCCGTATTGCAATTTAGGGGTGCTTAGAGTAAACATTTTACTAGCCATAGGGACAAGGGCTACCTTTAGCTGTCAAATGCTCTCTTGCAAACTGCCTTGGCTGTAATGCATTATAATCTTTTCCTGCTGGAGTTCCTAAGTGGTAGGCAAATGCTAGGTTATAAGAAAGTGTACTCTCCAAATCAGAGGGAGTTAAGGGTGTGTGTGTGTGTGTGTGTGTGTGTGTGTGTGTGTGTGTGTGTGTGTGTGTGTTTATATTTGTGCATCTGTCTCTTTCTGTATGTGTAGTTGTGTTTGTCTGTCTGTATTATGTATCTGTGTTCATGTGTGAATTATAAAAAAGGGTTATACTGCTCTGACCCTCAAGTGTTCTTCCGGTATCTCTCGGTTGAGTTCCATCCAGGGACAGAGAAGACGGAAACCCTGGCCAACTAAGCATGGAAGCCTCTGTGCTGACCCATCTCCTCACAGACAGCCTCAGGCCCTGCAAACTGAAGCTTACTTCTCCCAGGATCCTGTCTCAGTACCAGCCGCCCAGCTGGCTGCAGCTGTGTGCCTTCCAGCTCCTCACAGCTGGCTTTTCAAATAGAAATGGCCTCTCTCTAAGACACTTTACCAGAAGGGATTGTCTCAATTGCACAGTATGTTGAAACACTATTCTAAAAGCAGGGATTAAACTAAACGAATTGTAAGATTAAACAGAGAAGGGTTCCTGGCCTGCTCCATTCCACATGGCAGGTGCTCACACCATGAGTGGGAGATTTTCTCCCACATTTTTTCCTCTCTTGCATCTTCATGCAGCACTGTAGGGCAAGTTAGAATACTGTAGTGCCATTTTCCCTGGGGAGGTCTGGTCATGTTTTATCTGGTGCACTCATTTATGCTTGTGTGGTGTAACCATTTGTGGGTTCAGAAATATGCAGACAAAATTACCCAAGACTGCAAGTGCACCTGTAGTCTTATGCGTGCATACATAAGGTATGCCTCAGGGTGTTTCCAATATCAGCAATGTATGTCCTAAATGCATAGTTCTAGACCATATAAGAGAAGAAAGGAATTAAAGGGCTTTTCCTCATGGAAACAGCTTTCATTAGGTAAACTGATAGAGTTCAAGATAATAACCAAGTTAGAAGTCATGGTGAAAACTGCACTCCATGCTAGATCTTTTCATTTAAGTTGTTCTCACCAACATGTACCTATGCCCCAATCTTCCTTCCATTCCAGTCTTTCCACTTCTCCTCCTTTTCTCTCTTTGATATTTACCCTTTGAACCCCCACTCTTGTTTCCTAGTCTCCCCCTTGTTTTGTTTTGCTGAGACAGCATTTCATGTAGACAAGGCTAGCCATGAGCTTACCATGTGATCCAGGATGATACTAAACTCCCTAATTTAAGATCTGCCTGTTTCCACCAGGACGGCTAGGATTACAGGGATATAGCAACACTCTTGCTTCTCATTTCTTGTTCTCTCTCTCTCTCTCTCTCTCTCTCTCTCTCTCTCTCTCTCTCTCTCTGTCTGTCTGTGTGCATCCTTTTGTGAGGTAGGGTCTCTTAATGAACCTGGTAGACACTGATTGGCCTAGGCTGAGAGGCCAGCAAACCCGAGGGGCCCTCCTGTCTCTACCTCCTCAGTGCTAGGATTACAAGCATGCACCAGGCTTTTCGACATGAATGTGGAGGATCAGAACTTGGGTCCTTGTGCTTCACTATTGATCACTTTATTAGTTAAGCAATCTTTCCAGTCATGACTGACTACCATGTCATGATACAATCTTCCTTTTGCTGGATTATTTAAGGGTAAGGCCACTTCTCTAATTCTTTGTAGGAAAAAAAAAATCTTTGAAATTGTCTTCCCTGAGATTCACCTTTTCAAAAGGGAGACCTAGGTGGGAGGGATGAGAAAGATAAAGGACCGTCTCTGGTAAAGTCATGTACTCTCCAAGATGAATCTCACCTTTTGGGATCTGGAATTATTCCAAGATAATGCCAACCAAGAGTGGTCGAGTCCTGAGTTACTCCTTAGGCACCAGGCAGTTCTTCCCCTGTTCACAACATACCCTACCTGAGAGATGCAGAGAACATATTTAATTAAAGGGAGGAACTGGGGTTTTTTGCTTATTTTTTATAATTTATTTAACTTTATTTTATGTGCATTGGTGTGAAGGTATCAGACCCCCTGGAACTGGAGTTTCGGACAGTTATGAGCTTCCATGTGGGTGCTGGAAATTGAACCCAAGTCCTTTGGAAGAGCAGCCAGTGCTCTTAACTGCTGAGTCATCTCTCCAACCCCTAAAAGGAGGAATTGTATGGTGTAGGAAAGGAGATGAACTCCAAGGGAACGCAACAAAACCATTCTGAGTTAGAGGGCCAGGTCCAGACCCCAGAACCATAATGGTTAATGTTTCCTTGCTTTGCTGTCCTGTGTCTCCCCACGCTTTTCTCCGGCCCTTTCCTGCACAGCTCTGTATTCTGTTTCCCCTGGAAGAGCCCCAGCCTTAGCAGATTCCATCTACATTCCTTCGCTGCCCTGCTTGGAGAAGGGTCAGGTGAGACCCAGGGGAACAGGGGTGGGGATGGGGTGGAGGAGCTGCTGATACACAGCACTGATCTGCACCACAGCCAGTTTGCACTGATTTCTTTGAGTTCACCCGGAGCTGCAGATTGAAATGCCTGAATTCAGTCCTGCTTCCCCCAGAGGACACCTAGCCAGTTGTCCTTGGCTTCACCATTGTTCTAGCTTCTGGTCAATATTCTCTTCTTAGACTGTGAGCCTTCAACTTCCCTCTCTCTGGTTTGTGCTCCATGTCACTCAAGTGCCTTACTGCCTGGCTTCAGATCCCTTCCTCCTGCTCTCTACTTCCCACTCACCCCAATCATTTCTGCTTGTCTGCCTGCCTGCCTGCCTGCCTGACTTAGTTCTTCCTTTTTTTCTTTCAGTATTGGGTATTGAACACAGGACCTCACACATGCTAGGCAAGTGCTCTACCACTGACCTACAAGCCAAGACCCTGTCTTCTTTCTTTTACTTTCTCAGGAGGTTGTGAGAAAACCAAGTAGGAGCCCCTGGAGCTTGTTCAGGGACATGCCATCACCAAGAAGGAGCTAACAAAGGGTGACAAGATGTGGAGAGGTGCCATGGGGTAATGGTTCAGCCAATTCCACCCAGAGGACAGAATTCTCTCCCTAGTTCTTCTTGACTCTTCAGAGAGCGGAAATAGAATCCCTGTCCCTACTGTTGTCCCAGTCTTTAGCATAAAACTTCAAGTATTACCTTTCAGGATCAAAAAGGGCTTATTGTCCAGTCACCTTTTGGTGCCTTTATGAATGTCATTCTGGAGACCTTCTTCTCCTGGCCATGTATATCATAGTCAAGCTGTTTGGTTGACTGCCAAGTACCACTGGTGTTATTTTTTTTCAGTGTGGGTGCATTTCTTAGCTTTGCCTCTACATTTTAAGCACTCTAGCACTTACCTCCTGGAGAGTCCAGTGGGCTTGTCAAGAGCCACAATTATAGTGATGACTGTTATGATGGAAGACACTTGGAGAGTACCCTAGGTGTCCACATGAACTGTGTCTCCCTCAAGACCCAGCCTTGATTATTACGTGAGGCAACAAGTATGCTTTTTACATATATGAATATTTTCACAAATCCAACTCATTGAGAAATCATAAAATTTGTGTCTTTCATTCATAAAAATAGCTGTTGGTCCAGTCGTGGCACTGAGATCAGAAGTGGAACACTGCAGACTTACTTCACTATTGGCTTCTTGCAATCACCATCACTGTCTAAGCTGGGAGTATTTTTTTTTCTTTTCAGATTTTTTTTATTTGAATTAGAAACAAAATTGTTTTACATGCCAATCCCAGTTCCCTTCTCCCTCCCATCCTCCCCTACCACCCCTCACAACTAAAACCCTACCTATCACATATCCTTTCTTCTATTCTTCCCCTGACTCAAACTTTCTGCTCCCTCATGAACTCTGCATCCTTCCTCTTCTTCCCTTCTCATTTTCCTAGCTCCCTCCCCCTCTTCCCATGCTCTCAATTTGCTCAGGATATCTTGTCCCTTTCTCCTTCTCCAGGGGACCATATATGTCTCTCTTAGGGTTCTCCTTGTTTACTAGCTTCTCTGGCACTGTGGATTGTAGGCTGGTAATCCTTTACTCTAAGTCTAAAATCCACATATGAGTGAGTACATATCATGTTTGTCTTTTTGTGATTGGGTTACCTGGCTCAGAATGGTTTCTTCTAGTTCCATCCATTTTCCTGCAAATTTCAAGACTCCATTGTCCCCACCCCGCCCCACTTAGTAGTACTCCATTGTGTAAATGTACCACATTTTCTCTATCCATTCTTCAGTTGAGGGGCATCTGGGCTGCTTCCAGTTTCTGGCTATTACAAATAGTGCTGCTATGAACACCGTTGAACAGATGTCTGTGTTGTATTAGTGTGCTTCTTTTGGGTATATGCCTAAGAGTGGAATTGCTGGATCTTATGGTAGACTGATTCCCATTTTTTTGAGGAGTCGCCATACTGATTTCCAAAGTGGCTGTACAAGTTGGCACTCCCACCAGCAGGGGGGAAGTGGTCCCCTTTCTCCACATCCTCTCCAGCATAAACTGTCATTGGTGGTTTTGATTTTGGCCATTCTGACAGGAGTAAGATGGTATCTCAGAGTTGTTTTGATTTGCATTTCCCTGGTGGCTAAGGATGTTGAACACTTTTTAATGTGTCTTTCAGCCATTTTAGATTCCTCTATTGAGAATTGTCTATTTAGTTCTGTACCCCAATTTTTAATTGGATTGTTTGGTGTTTTGGAGACTAGCTTCTTGAGTTCTTTGTATATTTTGGAGATCAGCCCTCTGTCAGATGTGGGGTTGGTGAATATCTTTTCCCAGTCTTGCTGACTGTGTCGTTTGCCTTACAGAAGCTTCTCAGTCTCAGGAGGTCCCATTTATCAATTGTTGATCTCAGTGTCTGTGCTACTGGTGTAATGTTCAAGAAGCGGTCTCCTGTACCAATTAATTCAAGGGTATTTCCCACTTTATCTTCTAGTAGGTTCAGTGTGGCTGGGTTTATGTTGAGGTCTTTGATCCATTTTGACTTAAGTTTTGTGCATGGCGATGGGCTTGGGTCTATCTCTAGTCTTCTACATGTCTGCATCCAGTTATGCCAGCACCATTTGTTGAAGATGCTCTCTTTGTTCCAGCATATAAATTTGGATTGTTTGTTAAAAATCAGGTGTTCGTGGGTGTGTGGGTTAATATCAGAGTTTTCAACATGTAGAAGACTAGAGATAGACCCAAGCCCATGTCTATTTTTGTGCCAGTACCAAAGCTGGGAGTATTGATTCTCTGAATTCAAAAGGAAATTCTCCACTGGTAATCAAGTGTCCACTGTCTGCAGAGCTGGGAATATATGCTGTGTAGTAGACAGACAGGTGGGGAAGGTAATGTTCTTCATTCTTTCAAGGTTCTAACAAACATGGACAATCTACTGGAAACTGTTAGCCCGGGCAGCATTCATTTTTCGGGTTATTGGGAGGATAGTGTGGCTTAAGCCTGTTAGTTCAGTGCCTGATTCGAAAAGAGTATTCAGCAACTACAATTATATCATGACTAGGAGTATATATGAAGGACAAATGTGACAAGCTAGGTGCAAACAAATTCCATGAAATCCCCCCCCTTTTGTGGAAGAGCTCTGGAAATCCACAAGATCAACAAGGAGTTCATCAGACAAGGCAACCAAACAATACAGCAAAAGAGCTAGACAATGAACAAATTGATTCTGTGATTTCTCATGAGTTGCATTTGTGAAAAATATTCATATATGTAAAAAAGCACACTTGTTACCTCACTTGTAATAGTCGAGGCAAGGTCTTGAGGGAGACACAGTCCATGTGAACAGCTAGGGTACTCTCTGAATGTCATCCTCTATCTGGGGCCCAAATAATACTCATACTCTCTGAGTATGAGAAAGGAGGTGTGTGATGAGTGTGGTACCTGTGCAGAAGCCACCAAGATGAAGAAATGCTGGCTGTTCTATTTTTCTAGGCCACAGTGCACTGGTTCTATGTTAGTAGTTACACTGACACAAATCAGTTTGCTTCTATTACTGTTATAAAAACACTCACGGAAAGCAACTTGGAGAAGAAAGGGTTTATTTCATCTCATGATGCCCAGGCCACAATCCATCTCTAAGGGAAGTCAGGGGAAAAATTCAAAGTCAGAAACGAAGCAGAGACCATAGATGAATGCTGCTGACTGGTTTGTTTACCAAGTCTTGCTCATCTTGATTTCTTATACAACCGAGGATCACCTACCTGCCTAGGGGTGACACCACCCACACATCAATCATAATCAAGAAAACGACCCACAAATAGATACAACCACAGGCTAATCTGATGGAGGTAATTCCTCAGCTGGGGCTCCCTCTTCCCAGGTGATTCTAGCAGTGTCAATCTGATGAAAACTCACCAGCCCAATAACTAGAGAAAATCCGGGGTCAGCCAGACACTCTGAAGTTGAGTGGTGATGCTGCTGTTGTGGATTTCATGTGGTACATATTTGCTGATAACTGCTAGGGTATTGCTGAAGGGCATCTCAGATTTCTGTGTATCTCTAACGGTACCTCTGAAGCAGTTCCACACCAAACTGTAAATATACAAGGGCTCCTCCTGCAATCCACTATGACTGACTGCTTTGGTCTTACCCTTAACACAGAGCATTAGAGTCTCAAGCTAATGAAGTCAGCTTCCATTCACCATCAGACTGTTGACTGCAAGATCTGAATGCTGAAACCGGAAAGATCAGTATGCAAGTGAAGGGCATCTCTAGGAACACCAGTTATACCAAGGAAGGCTCCTCTTTGGAAATACTTTATGTGCATAATACTGGTTACTATGTTTTATAGTATATTCCTTAGTTTTCTCTTTGTGTGGCAAAATACCTGACAAAAAGTAACTTAATGGTGAAGAGGTTTATTCTAAAGTCAGAAGGCATACAGTCAACCCTATCAAGGACACTGTTAGATGCACAACACCACAGTCAGGAAGCAAAAAGAGATGAATCTGGGTCACTGTTTACATTTTTCTTTTTGTGCAGTTCAGGAACCCAGCTCATGAGATGATGCTGTCCACATCTAGGGCAAGCCTTCCCTCTCTTGTTAGACTGTTCTGGGAATACCCTAAAAAACAAACCCAGATCTGTGTTTGCCTGGTGCTCCTAAATCCTGTCAAGCTGGCAATGAAGATAAAATGCAACTAGCTGCAAGAGTCAGAGCACAGGAGACATGTTCTATCACTTCTGAATCTTTAAGACAAAGCGGTGGGAACCAGCAGAAAAACGTGATGCAGCACCCAAGGCACAAAGCAAACCTGATTTTAAATAAGCAAATTGCAAGCTCAGAGGGTGAGTTGTCTCCACTTTATCAACCTAAGATGAAACCAGACTATGAGCCAACACAGAGAGCCAGAGAGGTTGAATGGATACAAGAGCTGACTTCATCCCCTTGGCAGGACTTCCGGGAACTTTTCTAGATAAAGAACCCATGTTAATTCCCAAGAGGAAAAAAAAATAAGATGTTGTCTGCAAAGACCTAAGATCATTGTTAGGTCTCCCTTAAAGCACTCTGGTAACAAGGTTATCCTGGTAAACTGTTGTGTGTGCTGGCTTCACCACCCATCCTCTAGAGCCCTTTCCTGTACACCCACCCATATGAACTCTATTTGCCATGCTTCCTTTGAACTGCTTTTCTTTCAGAGCCTCTGTGCTCCAAAGAAGCAACATTTGAGATGCGAAGTGAGTGATGTAGACCTACACAATAGCTTAGTTCCCTTTTATTCCCAATTAGAAGTCCTGGGTCTGCACCCAGCCCTCTCATTGGTCAGCTTCCTTTTGTCCCCAATCAATGGGTAGAGGACAATGACCAAAGTAGCTCTCAAAATGGAGTCTTGAGGAAAAGATGCAATGGCTTTGAAGAGGAGACCATATGAATAGAGAATGAAGCAGAACCAGGGACTCTAATACAAACCTAACAAACAGACTAAAAGATGAGGCTGAAAAACTGGCCACTGAGAAGCAGAGTGCAGTAAAGCAGGGAGGAAGGCAGAATAAAAGTTCCTACTTCAACAACTGTGATTGACTTCATTTCACTGAAGTGCAAAGAATCATTACTTGTGTCTTTATGTTTTTAGATTCTTTGTTTCTATTTATGTGTCTATGTGTATATTTGTATGTATATGTACACATGTGTGCAGGTACCATCAGACACCAGAAGAGGGTATCAAAGCCCCTGGAGCTAAAATTACAGATGGTAGTGGACCACCCAGTACAGATGCTAAGAACCAAACTCCAACCCTCTGAAAGAGAAGCAAGTGTTCTTTAACCACTGAGCCCTCTCTTTAGCCCCAAAGAAAGCTCCTTAAAAAGATGATGATTGGGGTTGGAGAGATGGCTCAGGGGTTAAGAGCACTGTCTGATCTTCCAGAGTTTCTGAGTTCAATTCCCAGCAACCACATGGTGGTTTACAACCATCTGCAATGATATCTGATGCCCTTTTCTGGCCTGCAGGGATACTTGCAGGTGGAACACTGTGTTTGTAGTAAATAAATAAATCTCTTTTTAAAAAGATGAGGAATTGGAACATGAAAATTATGATTAGGAGTTCAGACCTTGTAGCAGGAAGAACTGATTTGAATGGCCAGCTCTACTCAGTAGCATGATGATCTCAAGCCCATTGCTACACTGTGGGTCCCTGCTTGTGAACTCACAATAACCACATCTACAACACAGAAGTAGGTCAATATTTCTGTGGGCATTAATACTGTCCCTACTATGTGCTAAATATTGATAATTAATTATTGTGTTCAAGGCCACACAGTTAGACATGGCAAAGTGCTGATCAAAATCCATTATGGCTTGGTCCCACTCTGGGTTCTTGGCATGATGTCAGGACCCTAAATAACTCACATCTGGCAAATGACCATAGACAGTAATGTAAAGGTCAACAATCTTTTGTTTTATTTTATTTTACCATTTTTTTTCTGACACAAGGTTGAAAAGAAAAAAATCTTAACAGTGATTACGAGGGTAGAGGGAGTTTTGAATATAATACCTAGAGTTCTGGAAACCAGAAAATGACCATCTTTTCTCTGGGGATGTGCATGCCTGATAGAAACTTTCTTGGTTTGGCCCATCACCCATCACCGTCATCGTTTTTGTTCTCCAAGAATGGCCAGAACTCTAATCTAAATTTCAGTGTCAACTCACAGCTTACCCCCACCCTTCTCATATTGTAAACAAGTCCATTTTAAAGATCCAGGCTATACTATTTCCTCACAAGAGCTTTATGAATTAGTAACAAGTACAACACATGAAACAAAGCCTCTTGGTACCCAGATAGTGCACTGTCTCCTAAGCCTACAACAAACACACTGGGTTCTCTCCTTGTCAAGATATTCCCTCTACTGTCTGTCTAAGTGTAACCCCACTGGCCAAACAAGTGGTGTATTTATTGATTTGGAAAATATGGTTAGCAAGATGATTCATCACGTGGATGACAGCCACTGGCTTCTCTCTGTGTGCTTCTAATGGCCTTGTAGCTTAAATCAAAACATTCCTAATTACCTACCACAATCCTCTTGGTTTGTAGTGGTTCTGAGGTTTGAGGACCTGTTTGCTAATGCTATGATCCCAAAGCTCACACTGAACTTGGGTTGTTAAAATGCTCCAGAGGGGACCTGAACCATTGCAATTGGGGACCTCCCTCCACTCACGCCAAAATATCCTTCACCTTTAAGGGCTCTTTTTAAAACCAGAGAGCTCTCTCTGATCCTCCTTGCAGTGCCCTGGCAGCAGTAGCAACACTGCTCCCCTTCTTTATTTGAGATCTGTGCAGTCTCATTAAATTTGATGTGTCACAGAGGGCTTGGGTATGTGAAAGGCAGGCTGTGGGAGCTGGACTGGAGGTTGCCAGCTTTACTAAGGAAACGTAATTCATTACGCCTTTTCAAAATGGACGCCCCTCTGGCTTCCTGCTCCATTGATTTCCCCCCCTTTTCCCTGCAAGTAACAAGTGAAGAGCCAGCTCAGCCTGCAGATTTAACCCTTATTAACAGCTATTTAAATTAGAGATGCAGTTTGATGGAGAGACGGGAGCCTTCTTACATTCCTTCTCAAAGGAAACCAAGATTAAAGCATGCATAAGTCTGGAGCCTGGCTGGTGAGGCAGCATCTCCCCCATCTAGGGAAGGGCTAGTGTTGCTATTAAGTAGTTTATCTAAATAATATGCTCCTGCTTTGCCATGATGAAATATTCATGACCTACTCTCCCACCTCCACCACCCCCACCCTTTTGCAACAGTCTTGGAAGAAGAATTTTCTGGACTGTGCACAGCAAAGAATCCTAGAACAATAACCAACAAGTTTGCACACTTCTCGGGACTGATCTGAAACTTCCCAACTACCTAGCTGACTGGAGCACATTTGAGACCTAGGAGTGAAGTAATGGGTGTTCTTGAGCTGAAGCTGCAAAGCAGGCCACCTGATTGGGAACAGAGTCTACGGACAGAAGATAAGGTTCACCCTTCGAGTGCTGCCATGGCCTCTGTGGGATCATTTCATTCACCAACTCCACAAACTAACCTGGAAGCAAAAGAGCAAAAGCAGGGGCAAGACTGGGGTCAAGGAGCATCCACACATCGGACAGGCACGCCAAAGGTAGTCTGACATCTTCATACATCCCAGTATAGCTATGAATGCTACCCAAGAGCAGGGAATAAATGAGAAATTTCTGAAAAAAATTTAGTGATTTTTATTTATTTACCTTTTAGCTCGATTGCACAGGTCTCCACTGTGAGCCTTGTCCATGTCAATGTTGTGGTGTTTGCAATGTCAAAAGTCAGCAAACCAGGTGTCCCAATTGCCTTTCTTGTAACAGTTACTACACTCACTACAGAAAACAAAACAAAAACACCTGACAAAAGCAACTTAAGGAAGGGAGGAAGGTTTTGTCTGGGTTCATTCCTTGAGCCTACAGTCCATCATCACAGGGAAGGCACATGAAGCAGATGTTCACGTTCCATCTGTGTTCTGGAAGCAGGGAGCCTGAGTGCTGGCTGTACTCAGCTCACTCTCTTGTCTGTATTCAGTCAAGCAGTTACACGTCCTGCCTTGTTTCCACTAGTCTAAAAGAAAATCCTTTTTGGACATGCTCAGAGGTTTGTCCCTAAGGAAGTTTTAGATCCTATCAAGTTGGCATTAGGTATAGACATCACACTGTGCAGCTTGGACCTAGCTAACACCTAGTTCCTTAGGTCTCTGGCTTTGTAAGTTGTAGGAGTTGAGATGGTAGTTCTCTGAATTCCTCCCCCCAAAGAAGAACATGGGGCATCATGCTATCTCTTTGCTGAGAATATACAGCAAGCTAAGGAGGGTATGGGTATACAGCAAGCTAAGGAGGGTATGGGTATACAGCAAGCTAAGGAGGGTATGGGTATACAGCAAGCTAAGGAGGGTATGGGTATACAGCAAGCTAAGGAGGGTATGGGTATACAGCAAGCTAAGGAGGGTATGGGTAGGAAGGATGAATTTACTTCCAACTGTAATGTTAAGTCTACATCTTTAAAATGTTGACTCCTCCCACTTCCTCCATCTTCCATCTAAACATACAGTCATCACCATCTTCAAGTGACAGTTTCTGAAAACCATCAGAGCACAAGTCCAAGGAGGTCATTTTCCTCACTCCAGTTTACTGTTTACCCTCCTGGCTACAGTGATGAGCTCAAGGGTCTAAAACAGAAAGAAGAGAACATGGCCCTGGGTTATAAGCAAGTCACAGGCTAGCAGCTTCTGCATTTACACGTTAGGGAAAAGGGTGTTTGTTCTTTGCCTTCTTATGTTGTCTTCAGCTTAAACGTGTTGAAGGCCTTTTCTCCCCTCTGGAATCTACAGTTTATTGTGGCCTCCAAACCTCAGTACACATTTTACAAGGTTGTGTGGAGATTTTTTAGTTTTATTTTTATTATTTTTTATTGATGTGTATGCATACATGTTTGTGTGTAATTTTGTGCAAGTACTCTCAGAAGCCAGAAGAGATCATTGGGTCCCCTGGAGCTGGATCCACCGCATGTGGGTGCTGAGAAATGAACTCAGGACCTCTGGAAGAGCAGTAAGAACTCTTAACCTCTGAGCCATCTATCCAGCCCTTTCATGAGGAGTGTTTGCCCTAGAACCCAAAGCCAGGAATGAAAACAGAGGAGTGTGGCTCCATCTGTCCCTACTCCTCAGTTCATTTAAATATGTTTCTCAGTTTTTCTGAGAGGCTCAAAGTATATGCAGTATATTGTCTGCTTTTCTCGATTTGTGATAAAATATCTGACAAAGAAGACTTAAAGAAAGAAGGGGTGTTTCAGCTCAAGGTTGAAGGGATCATAGTGGGTGAAGCAAGGAAGCAGAAGCAAGAAGTAGTCCATTCCATGGCATCTACAGAGACAAACCAGAGTGAGAAGGGTTGCAGTGCTCAGCTGGCTTCCTCTTTCCTGCTCTTTATTCAGTCCTGGACCCCAGCCCATGTGATAGTGTTGTCTGTATTCAGGATGGGTCTTCCCACCTCAGTGAAAGCTCTCTGGAATTCCCCTCATAAACATGCCTAGTGGTGTCTTCTGGTTGAGTCTAAGACAAGTCAAGGCGATTGCCAAGTGTAGCTGTCATATGCAAGGTGTGTGGTACATGGGGTTTTCTTTAAGGCTTTTAAGAATTTACAATGTCACTTAGAGCTACTCCAAGCTTGCCTTCACCAAGAAATGACAAATGTTATAATACAGGTTTTCTACTTTCTCACTAAGGGACTACCCAAAAGTGAGGAACTGGGAAAATAAACTGTAAGTTTTCAATATACATCCCATCTGGGGCCATGAGGAGAGTGGTATACAGCAAAAGCTGCCAGGACGTTCAGGTCAACTGCCCAGGTAGAACTGAGATTTGTTATGAGTCTCATCCTTCTCATTTCACACTTCAATAGACGTAAGTATGGAGAAACACAACCTTGTTTTCTCTGAGCAGACTTCCCTTTCTAGAGCATTCAAGCCTGACTTTACAAGCATATACAGCAGGAAAAAGGAGCTGGTGATAGAGAGGCAACTTTCCTGCCAAACAAGGAACTCATTCCTCCCACTGCTGGGGGTGAGCTGCTAGACAGACACATCTACACCCCGTGTGTCACTTAGTAAACTAGTTCTCTGACACTCCCTGTCCCAAAAAACTATAATAGAGCTACACAAATGAAAGTGGAGGGTGGGGTCGAGCAAATTCATTAATGATGCCTCTGTATGGCTCCAGGAAGGTACTAAGAACTTTGTGTATACTGCTCATCCAATCTTAGGAACAATCATATAGGGTCAATTATCTTTTTTTTTTACTCTCCCTCCTCCATCCTTTTCTTTCTTTCTTTCTTTCTTTTTTTTTTTTCATTTGCAGATAAGTTGAAGAACCTCTTCAAGTCCAACTGGACAGAATGGGATCAAGATTACAATGTATATAATTTTGAAGTCATTTTCTTTCTGCTCTACAATACAGTCTCCAATTGCACGCTGGATCCTTAGAAGTCACAGGGCCACACACTACCAAAATTGCAAATAGAACGAAGAAAAGAAAAGCTTGACCATTTGTTCTGTCACCTTTTGATCAAAGTAGAGAGAAACTTGTGTCCACTTCAAAGAGGTTTCTCTAACGAATTTTTAAAACAATGTGAATTTTCTTTCTTTTTAAAAGATTGTTTTATTTCTATCCATGCGTGGGCACAGATGCACACATGTGTTGGGGGTGTCCACAGAAGCCATTACCTGTAACGATAAGTCTTTCTGCCAGCCGCCCGAGCCACGTCGCCATGTGGTTGCCCGAAATAACACACAGAAATTAATATTAGATACAATGCTGCTGGCCAATGACTAGGATTTCTGTATCTGCTAGTTCAGTCTTAATTATCACCCATAACTATTAAACTATATAATTTATCAACTTATCTTATTGAGGCCGCTGACGGCAAGCGTCCTGTTTTCCCAGACTCACATGGCGACTCTCCCTCTACTACATTTCCCAGAATCCTCCTAGCCCCACCTATCTTGCTTTCCTATTAGCCAACTGTGCTTTATTTATCAACCTATAAGACAAACATATACACAGAAACAAGGACGTCCCCCATCAATTACCAAAGCAAAAACAAACATGGCCAGATATCCATACAACACAACAGATACAGGGGAAAGGAGAACCTCTAGATCACCATCTCTTTCCCTGATGACCTCAGGTCAGGAACCATAGCCCAGCTCATACGTAGCCTTCCTTCAGTCCTAATACCTACACCTGCAGCCTAGGCACAGGCTCCACCCACTGTGGCATACACTCAATCCCACTTGCGCCCATCTGTCTCTCATACCTTCTACTAACCTCTTATTCAGTGTGCTGTGGAATTCTGCTCCGCTTAATGAATAAACCCCCATGGAGACGCAAGCCTTTACCCAAGCATTCTTTCCACCCATCGCCTAAACAGAAACACAGCTTTTCCTTAATTATACAATAGATCTCAAACTATTGTTTGAGATCTTCCCTCATATCCCTCTCAAATAAACTGCTTTTTTCTTCTCCCAATTCATGGACAATTACACTTGCTTTCAACCACCCTTGCAGGGCATTTGTTATACAGCCGTGGCACAAGAAGCCTTCCCCCTTCACAGCTCTTATTTACTCCTTGGTGAGTCTTTTGGCCCTTGATACACTGAACACCTGGTTGCATTCCTTTAGCACATTAAGCTTGTGTTGATTGACAGTTAGCCTCTCAGGGTCTCAATCAACTTAACATCAATGACATTCATTTCCCCTCTGCTTCTAACCACAAAACCAATGGATTTCAAAACTCAGTCCTTGGGACCAACAGTATCACCGTCGTCTGGAAACTTGTTAGAAATCTGGATTTTCAGGTTCTTCTCTAGACCTATTCAGAGTCCCCATGGGGAGTGGGTAGCAATCTATGATTTAATAGGCCCTGAATGTACCTGAGGATTTACGTGATGTGAGCCTTGATAGTTCCAAGGATGAACATATCATGGCTCATACTATCAGCTCAAATGTTTCTACTCTGAGATCCCTCTGCTTTGATTGCACCTCATCACCATTTTGGCTCTCTCATATGTGTTCCTCTGAGATTTATCATGCATGGCCTGACTGTGTAGAGCTGCTTCAGACCTCTCTTAGTTTCTTTCCCTGTTGTGATAAAATACCCTGACAAAAGCAACTGAAAATAGAAAAGATTGATTCTACCTCACAGCCCTAGGTTATAGTCCATTATGGTGGGAAGTCACAGTGCCTCACAGCCCTAGGTTATTGTCCGTTATGGTGGGAAGTCACAGCAACAGAAGCCAGATGGCATCAGTCAAAGTGAGTGCTGAATACATGCTGATGCTCAACTCCTTTTCTCTCCTATGCTAATCCAGGATTACAGCCAAGTATTGGTGCCACCCAGGATGGGCAGATCTTCCAACCTCCCATAATGTAATCAAGATAACCCCCTATGGCATGGCTGGAGGGATTCTACGTTCTGGCATATTGAGTGTTCATAACAACCATCACAAGGCCTCAACTTCATCATGTGTGGACCCCGATCGACCATTTCCATGGTACCTGTAAGTCTGAAATTGCTTTGCAAAAGCTATGAGACTATGATAGAATTGAAGCCATATACCATTCTGAAAAGTTATGATGGTTTATACCCCTATTATCTATTTCCTTCATATTTGGTAGTATTCCCAATATGCATCTACCTTCTTTAAGACTTACATTTCCACTTAATCTCCCACATCTGGAAAAACGACCTTGACTATAAAAAGAAAAAAATTCCATCCCCTACAATCCTGTCTTAAATTGATGTTCAACCTGGGATGGGAATAGAGGTGAACC